TAGAAGGGTTCAATGTGAATGAATTTTGGAAAAGGTGGAGAAAATAATAAAGTAACCTTAAGTCTCAGCATTTTATGATTTTAGATAAAAAAAAAGTGATTAGACAGAATTTATGGTAACAAAATGTTGTGATTTAAGGGGAAAGATTTAAAACTTTCATGTAAATGGAAGGAGATGTTTAATTTCCAAAATAATAAAGTCAAATTACCAACAATTGCACGGTAATACTTTAATGATTCCATCCTTAGAAAACGGAATCAGCCAATCAGGGCCCATTGCAATTATTAAATTTTTTTCACGAAATTAAAGTCTTTGACGGGTCAACACCGTAAGACACCTGTCGAATTATTACTGGGCCTAATTTTCTCTTTACTCTCTCCAAAAAATCAAAAGCCCAGCTCTTTCTTCTTATATTTTCCCCCTAATTTTCTCACTTCCCCTCATATTTCGCTTCGAATTCGACAAACCCTAATCCCAAAACCTCTCGGTAAGTTACGGATCTGGTCTCTCTTTGCTCATATCTTCGTCGAATAATCTCTCTTCTTCTTCCTCGTTGATGTTTTCGCTTCGTCTTGTTGATTTCGAACTTGCTTTTTCTTTGTCTGTGTTCGTTGTTATCTCGAGATCTGGTATTATCAATTACTGTGAATTATCTTTCGGTGTCTGTGTTTGTATTATCCACGATTTGTTGGCATCTAGGATTGATCTGTATGAGTTCCTTTGTCTTTTATGGTTTTGGTATTCCTTGGAATGAATAGTGATGTTCATGAAGTTTGAAAACGAATTTTGAAAACAGGATTTAAGAAAGAGTGTGTAATAACGAAAAAGATGTCGTCTTCATCACGAGAAGAGAGTGTGTACTTGGCTAAGTTAGCTGAGCAAGCTGAACGTTATGAGGAGATGGTTGAGTTTATGGAGAAAGTTGCAAAGGGTTTAGAGAACGAAGAGCTTACTGTTGAAGAGAGAAACCTCTTGTCTGTTGCTTACAAGAACGTGATTGGTGCTAGAAGAGCTTCCTGGAGGATTATTTCTTCTATTGAACAGAAGGAAGAAAGCAGAGGTAACGAAGATCATGTTTCGATCATCAAGGGCTACAGAGGAAATATCGAAACAGAACTCAGCAAAATCTGTGATGGGATATTGAGTCTTTTGGATTCTCACCTTATTCCCACTGCATCTTTGGCTGAGTCCAAAGTCTTTTACCTCAAGATGAAAGGAGATTACCATAGGTATCTCGCTGAGTTTAAGACTGGAGCTGAGAGGAAGGAAGCTGCAGAGAGCACTCTGGTTGCTTACAAGTCAGCTCAGGTAAAATCTTAAAGTTTCGTTTAACTTATTTTGCTGCTTGAGACTAGTAAAGTGACGATGACTAATGCTTATGGTGTCTATTCGTCCGATGTAGGATATTGCACTTGCTGATTTAGCTCCTACTCATCCGATTAGATTGGGACTTGCTCTTAACTTCTCTGTTTTCTACTACGAGATTCTCAACTCACCTGATCGCGCTTGCAGCCTCGCTAAACAGGTTTGTTGTGTGTTTGCGTTAATGGGATGTTGTAAATTCTTAATGATATTATCTCAATTGGTTTCTTCTACAGGCATTTGATGAAGCAATCGCTGAGCTTGACACATTAGGAGAAGAATCATACAAAGACAGTACCCTAATAATGCAACTTCTCCGTGACAATCTGACCCTCTGGACTTCTGACATCAATGTGCACTTTTGTCTCCCTCCCTAACTATTTCCTTTTTAAACTTTATAATCTACACAAATCTAAAGCATCTTTACATGTGTTTAGAAAGTTCATGTAGTTAGAAATTTCGATTAAACGCTGATGTGTTGCTCATGTTTTTCAGGATGAGGCGGATGAGATCAAGGAGGCGTCAAAACCTGAGTCGGAGGAAGGGAAACAAGCTTAGACATTGAAGGGATTAGAGAGAGAGAGAGATTTCTAAGTATGTATGGATTTGGTTTTTTAGTTTCCAAAAAACATATGAATATGGGGTTTGTAGAAGCAGAGAGAAGATCATGATATGATTTTCTCCTTTGAAAACTCAAATACCTCTGGGTTTTTTTTTTTTTAATTGGGCTTTTGAGTCTTTTACTTGGATGATTGCTTTGGATTCAACTCATTTAAGATTTTAATCATTAAGAGTAGTATTTGGTGTTTTAATATTTTTATTCATTCAAAGTTATAAAATTTTATAAACGCAGAAACAATTCAACAAACAGAAATATACGAAATGCTTTCGTATTGGACATATGAATATACATTTTTTTTTTTATTGTAAGCTCAAATTTTATTGTTCAAATTATATTTTCCATTTGTGTTTAAGGCAGTACTCATGGGTCTCTTTCCGTACATTTAATTTATTTCATTCTTTACTTATTTTTCCTCTTTTGTTCATGTTTTTCATATGTATGAAGTTATATTTTTCGTATACGATTTTTATTCAACTAACAGTAATAGAATTTGAAATAATAACCTCCCCAATTATCTTAATCCGCTGTAAATTTTAAAATAACTCCGAACACACAAATATACTAGTATTAAAAATTTGGAGCATGTATACAGAAAGAAGAATATACGCAAATCAATGTCCTGAGCATAACTAAATAATAATTAATTACATAGTTAACATATAAACACATCGCTATTATTACCACCACCCCCTCGCAATATCACTGCTTTGCTTTTCCGCTTGTCTCTGTGTATTCATTCAT